AACCTGCATTACAACCCGTGAAGTCCTCTTGATTCGCATATTTTGAGCTTTGATTGTCTTCGAGTAATTTAAACGATTGGCAAGCATATGTTGAAACTTGAATATTGACCAATTTTTTTGAGCGTACCTATCATATATTCATGTAAGAAAATGAGTAAGGTTTATATTACATTCTATGCGTTTGAGAGTTTTTCATTTTGAGGCCAAGTTGATATTTGAGGCATATGGTCGTACGGTCGTTGGAATTTGACTTGATTGAGTTAGGCATTTTGAGGCTCTTCTTATTTGAAACCATATTCATGCTCGTGTCTTGTTTTCTTTTCTTTTTGTTCGGGACGAACAAAGGTTTAAGTGTGGGGGAGTTGTTTGTCCCATTTTTGTAGCATTTTCTGAGCTTATTTTATCTTTCTTTTTCCCCGTTTTAAGTCCTTTCGTTAAGTTTTTATCCGTTTTGTCGTTTATTGTGTGTTTTTCTCTATTTCGGTTTTCTTTGTATTTTCCGTATGTTTTTCCAGTTTTCTTCCGTTATGGTGTGCAGGTCAAATAATTGGAGAGGATTTACTTTTCACGATAAATAGACCGGGCAAATATGGATTGAGAGAGAGCATTTCGATAGGAGTACACGAGAAAAAATGGAGCCAAATTCGGAGGTCGAACGAGCTCGAACAGATAGAATATGTGAAGAATTATGTATTGAGGCCCGAGTGCCCAGGCTTCGCGCCGCGACCACGCCCCGTCTTGGACAGACGATCGGACTTCGCGCTGCGGCGCGCCGCGGTATCTGCTTCCCCTCGCCCAGCATAACTCACGCGACACCCCCGCGCCATGACAAGAAGCTGCTCCGCGCCGTACGTAGCTCCCGCGCCGTGAAGAAGAAAATCTCAGCGCGCCGCGCCGATACCCCGTGATGGACAGATGCCCCAGATTTCACGCCACGCCGCGAGGAAGCTCCCTGCCGCGCCGTGAAGAAATTCGCCCAGACCTATAATCTACTGCACCGCGATGCTGCCGCGCCGTGAGACAAAGCTCTGTCGCGCCGCGACCTGATGCGGACACGGCGAGAAGACTCAAGAATGCATCAAGTCGCGCGTGGCATGCGCGAAGGAGGTTAAGTCGTCGTGCCAGCGAGGTGCGATATTCGGACGGACGCGCGCGCACGGGAGACGACGCGCGCGACACTATCGGGGACGGACGCGGGTTTGAACGTGCAGGCGACGACGTGAACGCGCATACTTACCTAGGCGCACGAGGATTAGGCAACGCGGACGCGGGCAAGGCGGTTTGGGGCGCAAGCAAGAAATAAATTAAATAGCTTGATTAATATTTTATTTCCTTGTTTTCTAGTTTGTTTAGGATACTTAATATTTTATTGTTTTATTAGAGTTACAGTTATATTAGGACTAGATCTAGTTGATGCCTATATAAAGGCCCTTCCTCTTGTTAATTTAATCATTCAAAAATCAATACAAAAATCCGAACTTTTGTTCAAACTCTTTGCTCTAGTTTTCTTCTTGAATTCTTTTGCAACTTTATTCGTTAGAAAGGCTGCGAGTGTGCGACTTCCTAACACCTATCGAACGATTTAAGGCGCGGGAGCGGCTTGTCGGCAATTGAGACACACGGTCTTCATCACGACCCTCCGCCGCGCCGCGGCGCCTAGCCCTGCCACGCCCACGTCAGATTTCTTCACCCGTGGCACATGATCTATATAAATATACCAATCGGGCATCGACCAAAGATAATTCTCGACCGGGGGTAAAACCCTAGGTCCCGAAAACATCACGAACTCCCTTCTTCTTCCTTCTCTTCTTCTTTTTCATTTTTCTTCTTCTTTTCACAATTATTTTCTATTTTTCGTCTTCTTCTCTGTAGTTAGGGTTTAGCTTGTATTTCAAATTCGACTGGAACTTGGATTGATTGTAAGTATTCTTTTTTCTTGTTTAGTTCATGAATAATGATTATTTGAGAGAATTGATCATGATAGTTGAATTTGATATTCGTAGGTAAATCCGATTGCTAGGGATAGGAGATGATTGTTCTTGTTTAACGTGTAATTGTCGGGCTTCGATTTGTTCATGCTTATGTGAGTTGAATTGATTAGAAATTGATGAATTCTTGTTTGATTGATTGATATAATCGAAGAGTGACACTTCGATCTTGCAGTTGGAAACAATTGAATGTTAATTTGTCAAGTTAGGGTTTGCCGATTCCATATAATTAGTTGATTAAACACCTTCTAGTTAAATTAGCGACTTTTTGAACCGAAAGGGGAGAAGTCGTAGACCTAGGCTCACATGAGGTAGACGATGTCGTAATTGACTAATCTATGTGTTTTTTATTGAAATACGTGCTTGTCGATGTCCCGTCCCTTTTTACGTAAAATTATTGGGATTGGGATATTTGGCTTGTATTGTATGCTCGAACTTGTTCGTCTATGTTCAATTCCTTGTTACGAAGAGTTATTGGGAGCATCTCGAACCGAACAATGAATTGCCCGATTTTGCTAGAACTTGAATTAATTGTCCCCGACTCCCTAGCTTCTCATCTGTGTGTCGTTCTTATTTTTAGGTAGATTTATATCTTTGCATTGTTCTTTATTTCTTAGTTGATAATATCCAATCTCTATCTGATTAGGGTGTTTAGGATTTTATTTGCTTTTATGTGTGATCGATACCATTTCTAAATTCTGAACCGCCTTCCTCGTGAGATCGACCCGGGAACGAATCTTTCGATTCGATACTCGGTAAAAAGAATAATTTGTACACAACAACGATCTTAGCCAATAGGCTTAAACGTGTCTTGAATGCTTGCATTTCTCAATCTCAACTTGCCATTGTTCCTAGTAGAAAAATTTTAAACAATGTAATATTTACTAATGAATGCATCCATTACTTAAATAGTAAAAGAAAAGGCAAAGAAAGCTATATAGCAGTGATACTTGATATGATCAAAGCTTATGATAGAGTCGAGTTGGAGGCTTTTTAATTAAAGTATGTAGGCACATGGGTTTTGCAATCTTTTTGTGGTTTGATATTTACCAGTTGGTTGACTTGCTTATTCGATAATTTGTTGAATGATCTCTTTCTACATTTGGGAACATGTAGTAGGCATTATAACTTAATAAAAATTGAGAGTAATCACGATTGTTAGTTAGTTATCTGCCATTACTAAATTATTAAATAGTAAAATAATTAGAACAGATTATTAGTAATTAAAGTTATTATTAATTCTTTTATTATTTTATTACTAAGTAGTACTAGTAACTTTATGCTTCAGTATATTAATATTACGGAATTAATTAATTGGTATTAGTAATGTATATAATTATTATTATACTATAATTATAATTAAATATAATTGAAAAATATATGTAAGGGATGTTTCGTATTAAAATTAGTGTAAATGTGTTTTATAAGTAGTGTAAACTTTACATGTTCTTTGAATTGCTTGTAAATTATATCCTGTAAAATAGACAGACGTGTATTCTGAAGACTATGGGTGTCTAAGATTAAAACTAAGACCCAACCTTAATTATATGGATTGTTGTCCACCAAGTTGCTAGGTTGTTGAGTCCCTTTGTATGCAGTTAGGAGACTTAGGTCATCAAACATTTATAAAAGGACGACGGGGAAAATTCCTTCTACACTTACTCATTCTATAGTCGTCACTCGAAAAAATTTATTCTAACTTAAGCATCAAAGATTTATCCTTGGGGACGACCAGAGGTTATGTTTTGTAGGCGTGATACAAAGGAGTCTGCACTAAAGAGGACGTCGGGGCATACATCATTGCTATGTGCTGTCGGACTAACACAATTATTCTATGTATCATCAGATGATTTTGTTTTAACCCATATATCATAAGCCTTGCAACATGGCAGCATAATTTCTGGTGCCAATTCCGCACGAACTGAGAGTATCGAGTTAGATTCTCCTTTGCCAGCGCACATGAAAAAGGAGTTGGGCTTGCTAGATTAGTATCTTACATAGATCATCTTTAATAAGAGGTTTTAGACGAGGTTTATAATTACAAACCGTCATGTTCTTTATAACAGCGGAGAGGTTTGTAAATATAAACCGCGTTTGTTCAAATAAACCTCATGTGAGACCCATTAAAAGTGAATAAATATAGTATTATAGTGAATTATTATTTGATATATAGATGTATGATATTAAAATATAATGAGAAATATGTTGATCTTATTAAAAAAAGAGAGAGATTTATCGTCATTCGGAGTTTTTTAATGTACGAGTAAGAAATGATTTTGAATGATGCGACATGAACAAAATGTTTGTGAATGTTTATTATTAGAAATGCCCTTATAGAATGGAGCATGGTCTTGGAGCTTTCAATTTTACATGATTTTCAGGTGATCTATTTTAGCTTTAGCCTACGTAAAGAACTATGGCCGCCAGATCATAAAATGTGCGAAAAGAAGATTCCGAAATGCATCGGTTTCTTCAACGAATTGGGCTTACGAACCACAACTCTTCTCTACGGATAATTCACAAACCTACACTTAGAATTGGCTTCAGTCCAGGGAAAGGGGGAAAATGAATTCTGGAGGATAGAAGGTATTGCGAAGAGATCCAGCTCACTGGCAGTTCTGGAAATTGTGGAAAGTTTAATTAAAAAAAAAAAAAGAAAGAAAGAAAAAAGAAACAGTTGTGCGAATTTGAAGGGCAAAATCTATTATGAACATTCACTATGTGAATCAACTTCAACGTACGTTTTGCATCATAGTGTAAGAATCATGAAGGGAAAAGATCATTACACAGTTCCAACACTAAGTTTACTCTCTTCAGTTAGGAGAAATATTCACTGAAGCCCTTCCGGCTCGATTGTATTCTGGCTTAGCATATGAAACAATGCTTTCCCCAAGACAAAATCCTCCCCGCAATATTACAAAAACGGAAAATCACAAGGGAACTTGTACCTTTTTCATTTTCACAATATATTTTTGGGTCACCAGCTGCTTCTTGAGGCAGAATTGACTGAATCTAGAGCACTCGACTGAAATACATGTTCATGGCATGTCTCGAAGGGTTGAATCCAGTCAGAATTACTGCAGAACAAGGATTACTTCATTCAACAATCTATAAATTAATAAAATAGATGCATGTGTTAAAAAGTATTGAGTTTTTAAGTACTTACATATAGGGGAAAGAACGAAAACAACACCAATTGGATACAGGAATAAAGTGGTCCTCTCCAGGAATGGTAATACTGCACCATATGAGCAAGATGATTAATTGCAATAAATAAAAGAACATTCCGAGCTATATAAATTTTTAAAGAATATGTAGTGCATCAACCAAAACTTGTCTCACCATCATAACCCAAATAATTTAGGTAGTGATAGTAGGAAGCAGCCACCATGAATAGTAGATTCGACAGCAATTCAGGAACAAAACCATGGGCGACCAGCAGAGGTGAAAGAAAATAATGAACGACTGCAAAAGAACAAATACATTAGCAACTATCCTTCTCATTTCTGGCGAGAACATGTTTTTGGTAGGCTCACCATAAAGCAGCACAAACACAGGGAAGAAAGAGTTGCAGTGTACGTCAAAGGCATACAACCTTCAGAAAGTTGAAAAGTAACAAAATTTAGCGAAATAATATTAATAATGCAAAGCCTAGTAATATGAGTGGAAAAGGCAGCGGGTATGTAATTTAAAGCAACAGTATATCAGGAGAAAGTATATAGATGAAAAAATACTACATAGGAAAATTTTCACAATGCTGCAAAACAGTAGAGAAACTTGCCATTCCACCCGTTGCTCCACCACATGGCTGTTCAAAGCTTCTTCTCGGAGATAATTGTTAGTGAAAAACCTGAAGAAAAAATTGCATGAACAATTATCAAGGATAGCACTGTAAGCAAACACAATAAGCGGCTGCTAAATCTCTTTGCATGATAGACTATTTGCATAAATTTTAAATAGCTAAAACCTTTTGGTCTGGTGAAAATGAGGGTAGCTCAAAACAAAGTAATGGCAGAAGAATCGGACGAATCATAATCACTAACATGAATCTAACTGACATAAATGTAGAAAAAATCATAATACGGCCTCATCTAATTAGAATAACACAGTCTAATCCATGTTCTTGATTGTCCTTACCAACAGCAAGTAGCCAAAATTGCACCTGTTACAAGAAAATGAAATAGCAATACAGAAATAACGACAAAAACTGCATGTCCTGCACTGTGATCATACCTGAAACAAATAAAAGACAACAATGAGAGCAGAACAGGCGACAAAGTATACATGACAACATTCTGAAATAATGAATAGAGGAAAGGGCAGAGGGAGTCAACTAGCTACCAGCAGAAGTATACAACAACAACAACAAGCCGTTAGAATCCCACTAAGTGGGGTCGGCTATATGGATCACATGTCGATGTCGTGCTCGATCATAAGACGTATCATCATTCAAATTTAAATATTTTAAATCATTTTTTATTGTTTCCTTCCAAGTTTTCTTAGGTCTACCAGCAGAAGTATAATAAGAAAAAATTTTCATAAAATATGAATTAGTTGGTGGAAAAAGGATTCATTTATTAGATTTACTTATATTATCCATAATGAGATCCATGTGAAGATAATGAAAGCAGCCACAACAGGAAGAGGTCAGAGCATAGAAGATGCTTACGCAGCACAATAAGCAATTGTGGAAACAGACAAAAGAAGACTACATATCACAACAAATGCAGGATCATCGCGCGCCCATTGATTCTTTGTTTCTGGAGAGAGAGAGAGAGAGAGAGAGAGAGAGAGAGAAAGAGAGAAAGTTTATTTTGACTATAAATAAGACATAATGTTCATTCACCATGTAAGCTGCATGTGTAGATAATGGTACTGTATTCCTAGACAATGAGTAACCGGATTACATGTTGATGATGTACTGTAGTAATGATGACGAAACAGCATTACACTATGCTTATGATGTCATAAGAATAAAGACTCTTTGGAGTGACAAAATTAATCCGCATAAAACATCCACAATGTGTCCACATTATAGGTCCAATTTTCCTCTATGTGGAGCTCTCGTGACATTGAATCATTGCATCACATCATAGGCGGTCAGAAGTATGTGGTGTCCCATTTATTGTTTAATAAATCGGTAATTTTGGAGTAGGAAAAGAGAGAGTTTCCCTTAAAGGAAAACCAAACTTCAGAAATCCGACAATGGAAATGACAAACACGGAATGAATGGGGTTATACCAAAAAATGCTGGAGCAAATGAAACATGAAGTGAAAAAAATATAAATAAAAAAGAAAAGAAGGTAGAAAATTATATATATATAATGGGGACAAATCACTCATATGCATATAGGACAAAAGAAAGGATTCTTACGTTTGTGATATTTGGTATGCTGATATCTGCAAGCATCGTTCATGTTGACATGCAAAATATGGAAACACGTCGTTAGAAGCCAAGATAATACATATCAAAGTACTCCATCCAGCCAACTGATTTTGTATTAGTCGTAAAAAGGGTAATATTTGAGGGAATATAACATGATGCCGTATCATGAAACCAAAGCAGATTCTTAAATGCATGTAACACGAGAATGCCTACTACAAGTCGCCAATCCCATTGAAATTTTAGTCAGTCAACTTGATCCATTCCGTAACATCACTAAGTTTCTAAAAACACATGAGTAGGAACAAAACATCGGCTTAAATGATTGTCCAACAACCAGACCAAAGAGAAAGGAAATGCATCTCTCCTAAGTACTTTGGAACATTGAATGGTGTTGCATTTTATGTTATAATAAATAATCTTCAACACCGCAAGCATTTATAATATGGATAATTATGATACGACAAGAGTTATGGATACCCACACTACTTTCGGCGACGTGCATAGGTGAAGCATTTGCCAGAAAGTATATTCAACATCCATTTGTTGCCACTGCATTGAACCACACAGAACAAACTTGTGTCACTAAGGGAACATATCAATACACAAATAACATATTCACAGACTTATAAATGGAAAGAAACACCAGCCCCGTGGCCGTTTTCGATTATGCTTCCTAAAGTCATGCTGAGTGCGAAAAGAAATATAACAATGATAGTAAAGTTTTCACTTACTAGTAAAATAAAATAGGAAAAAAAAAAGCCCGGTTAAAAAATAAAAACTGAAGATAGGAACATTGTTGTTGTAGGGAATGCGAAACAGTAAAAACAATATCATTTAGCTAAATTTAGCTATTAGCCACATCAAAGCTTCATAAGGAATCATAAATACAAGTGCCACAAAGCATAACTGAATGAACGCAATCGAACCAAGATCCATTATCAAGTTACTACGATCAGTTCAACCTCTACACTCAGATTGAAGTATAATATCCCAAGTTCTCATACATGCATATTGTAGTATAGTATGTCAGCCTATAGCTCACATCAAAGTGAAATCAAATTTTCTCAAAAATCGAGCTGTCTTGAGCTCAATTTAAAATAA